GATTGTCTGGTGGGTGATTGTCTGGTGGGTAATTGTCCTGGTGGGTGATTGTCCTGGTGGGTAATTGTCCGGTGGGTGATTGTCCGGTGGGTGATTGTCCGGTGGGTGATTGTCCGGTGGGTGATTGTCCGGTGGGTGATTGTCCGGTGGGTGATTGTCCGGTGGGTGATTGTCCGGTGGGTAATTGTCCGGTGGGTGATTGTCCGGGGGGTATTTGTCCTGATACCGTATAGACGGCTTCTCACGGAATATTATGTAGTTGGAAGTTTACACAACAAGCAGTGATCCACGTATCATTGCTGGGTACTGTGAGGAAGCTGTTGGGTCGAGACACGGCTGTCCGATGAAGGTATACCCCCCCCCCCCCGGGATCCCGGTTGTGTCCCACGGGGTTGTTTTGTGTGTGTTACTATTTCCTAATTACGAGATAAAAATATTTTTTTGTGGCACTAAAATGCTGCCGTAATATTCAGTTGTTATAGATAAAAAACAAAACCAGCCGACATTTAGTTTTACACTGTAAGCGCTTTCATCTTTTAGAATCTATAAAGATGAAAGCGCTTGTGTAAAACTAAATGTCGGATTATTCATTTTTTTATTTCTCTCTCTCTCGCTCTCTCTCTATATATATATATTTATATATATATAATATATCAGGGTGCGAAATTAACGCGATTCCGGAGTCAAATACTCCCCGATTTTCTGTCGGACTCTCTGATTTGACATATATATTTGCAGGAGTCCCTGTGACTCCCTGAAAATTCTTCTATACTAACTAGTTCGTTCCAGAGCACGGCCTCGCGGAATTACCGTATTTTTTCAGTAAATGTCCAAGGACAATTTGGCAGACGTGCAACCGCATGAATCTTCAAAATAAGCACACGCATTAAAATGTCTTTAATTTTGAACTTCAGACTGTGGACTTCTTTATTTTGCTGCGGACTCCCTCTTTTTGAGGGCAGGGAGTCCGTAGGCTCTCTTGTTCAAAAGTTGGTTCAACATGGTTTGCAAGGTCTATTAATCAGAGCTGCCTATAATAAATAGCTGCCTATAATAAATAGCTGGTCGGAAGTTTCTTCCGCTATATATTGCTACCGAGTCACGACATTGAGCAATGTCAAACCTCCGTCACGAGACCGCTCCAATATTTACATACATGATACTTAAATAGTCACTATTTGCGTCATTTGGATCATTATCAGGAGCTTTATCGTGCATCTATCTCGGTGTGCTACACTATCTACCGTATTTACTCGTGTATCATATATAAGTCACACTTTTTGTACACAACTTCAATAAAAAAAAAATCATGGGTGCGACTTATACACGAGGCTAAGAAATCTTGTGCAAGAAACGTCATCGTTATCGCAAACATCCGCTATTATAAATACCGAACCACGTGAACGCATATTGCATATAGGCGCGCAGCCATCTCGAATAAATTACAGTGCTTTTTAATGTATGCAAACTAAGCCCAGAAAAGTTATTCCAGGTCTGGTCTTTTGAGCTTGCCGGCTGGTTTCATAATTATTATTAATAATATTAATAGATAACTGCTCATTTACTGGAGGACAATGACTTGTGAAATCACCGTGTATTACGTTTGTCGACTGCTACGATATCGTTCAGTATTGAAGTTGAACTGCTCATTTCTGTAAATTTCAATTAAAAATTTCAATGCAAGGTTGGCAAAATATGGGGTGCGACTTATACACGAGTAAATACGGTGTCTATCTATTCTATCTATTCATCCATCTATTCTATCCATCTATCCATTATATATTATATATCCATCTATATCTATATCTATCTATCTCTCTATCTACATACATACCTATCTATCTATATATCTATCTATCTATCTATCTATCTATCTATCTATCTATCTATCTATTTATCTATCTATCTATCTATCTATCTATATATATATATATAGATAGATAGATAATATATATCTATGGGTATATAGGCTATATATATCTATGGGTATATGGGCTATATCTACCTATATGGGCTATATATATTTATATATAATAATTATCTATCTATCTATCTACCTCCCTACCTACCTTTCTATCTATACATGTATGTACATGTATGTACATACATGTATCGTAATACAAAATGTAAATACAAAATGTACATACATGTATTGTTACATATCTATACCTCGGTTTGCAACGTTCCGGCAACGCGTGTTTATTGGATAGTGGCTCCCCCTACAACATGCGGCCTGTGATGCACAGCAGTGTGTATGTTCTGGTTATCAGGAGTCTGACATCAAGATCTCTTATAGGTGTTTGCTTGTCAC